GGTCCCTGTGGAAGGCAGACAAGCGAGGGGAGGGGGCTATGTGTCTGGTGGTGACATCTTGCTGGAGGTGGCAGAAATGTGGTTCCCCTTGTCCTTACCTACCATTCCACCAGCATCCTTGTCCCACCAACCATCCTAGTATCCAAGGGCCCAAACATACCTTCCAGGTGAAGCAACACTCCACCTGCACTTCCCAGAATCTAGTCTACTGCAATCGCTGCTCATAGTCTGGTCTCCGCTACATTGGGGAAATGAAGCATAGTCCGGGTGACCACTTCACAGAACATCTGCGTTCTGCTCGCAAAAAAGACCCTGAGCTTCCAGTTGCCCGCCACGTTAACACACCACCCTGTTCCCTGGCCAACATCTCTGCCTCAGGCTTGCTGTAGTGTTCCAATGAAGCTTAGCGCAAGCTGGAGGAACAACACCTCATTTTCCGCTTGGGGACCCTGCAGCCCTGGATTCAGTATCGAGTTTAATAATTTTAGGGCCTAAACTCTCCCAAGTCCTAGCCCCCTACCCTATACACAAGGCCTTGTTATCACATAGCCTGCCGTTACACACTACCTATTGTTAGTCACTAACAGTCCCCATTAACAGCCATTCGCCCTCCTAGCCAGATCATTAGCAACTCCTTTATCCATCCAACTGCTCATCTCTCTCTTTGGGCTCTATCTCCACCTATCATTTACTCCCTACCCACTCCCCCTTCCCCTCCTTATCTCCTGCATATAAACCAATGTTTTCCTAACTACCATCAGTTCTGAGGAAGGGTCACCAGACCTGAAACGTTGACTCTGAATTTTTTCTTCACAGATGCTGCCAGACCCGCTGAGCTTTTCCAGCAACTTCTGTTTTTGTTCCTGATTTACAGCATCCACAGTTCTTGTGGTTTTTATTCACAATAAGGTAACCTGAAGTGCATTGAAGTGAGATGGAAAACTGACTTTGTTTTAAAACGTATGTGGTTGAGTACTTGATGCCGTAACATCCAAGGCTATGCGCCATATGCTGGAAAGCGGAATTAGAGTAGACAGGTCAGTGCAGACTCGATGGGCCAAAGGGTCTCGTCTGTGCTGTATGACTGTAACTGTAATTGTTCCTGGATTTGAAACTTTTGGATTCTTTCCGCAACTTGTCTGGGTTGGCAATTTAAAAAAGGAAGCTTTGTGACAGTGTGTGACAGATGAACTCTGAAAGAGTAGTTTTAAAGGGATTGATGGGAAATATGGTACGCAGTTTCCATTTAACAATGCTTTCAGGACTTTGAGAGGAATACAAGTTGAGAGAGCAATTATTGGAGAGAAGAGGGAAAACTTTTTAATGTATGGAAGACATTGGGACAGTAGTGGATGGTGGTGTTCGTTGATATTGGCAAGGAGGAGGGGAGTTTCTGTGATCAGAATATAGGTGGATTTGACACCAGGTTTTATGTATTTTGTGGAATTAGTGAATGCAGAGCTAAACTGTAATAAGGATTGGGTTGGTGGAGCATAAGGAAGAATCCAGAGGAAATGAAGAAGGGACAGCCAGCATTGCCTGATATCCATAGCTTTCTCACATTTAAAGTGAATTGATTTAACTGTAGGAGTAGAGGTTTTGGGATAATTTATAAAATATCACTTCAAAGTGTAGGAAGCCAGTGAATCAACATGTTTATTGTGTCACTTACGCATTTGCTCTTCACTGGAGTGGATGTACATGAAAATGATGAAACTACTCTGAATAATTTATTGGTATCTCTTTATAGGAGTTGATCCACAAGCATTTAATAACTATGGCACAGATTGACCAAACTGAAAATCCAGGTAAGATGAGTCCTACGCATTTGACATTAGCTTTGTAGAAGTAAATAAGAGTCTTCAATACTGTGTGCTTTACATTATTGGAACATATTTGCCCATCTACTTCTGTTCTGTGCTGAAACCATTTTACTTCCATTTGCCAAAGTTCAGCTAAAAATAATATTTTTATATTGCATAAATCTAATACGCCCACATAATTGTGGCTAGATAGTCTATGCCTAATTCCTGATTTTCGTTTATTTAAAACTCATGGTCATCTTACTTACTTCACTTTGTACTGTCTTCTTGTTCTTTCATGTGTCAATCATCTTATAAAACTGGCCATTTTGTGATAGTTTTTATAACAGTCCTCCTAGACTTACTAATTACATAGATCTTTTACCAAAAAGGCATCAGTGGACAATTTAATATATCTGCCTGGAGAAGTTAGTGTCACCTTCTAGTGATAAACTCTCATTCCAAATGTTCCGAATGATGTATCTCAATGTTCTCCAAAATGTTTCATTATCCTCTACTGACAAGAAACAAGGTTGACTCCACGATAGTCGTGATACTAAAAAAAAATGCTTAAAATAAAAGCTAAACCATTTATAACATGACTATCTTTGAGTAAAAGTGGTGTCCGCTTCAAAAACGTTTTAATGTGTTAGCTAAGTTTTATTACTCAAACCAATCTAAACAGCATTAAAACTATAACACACAATAAAACTACAACATTTCTGAAGAAGGGTCTAGGCCCGAAACGTCAGCCTTCCTGCTTCTCTGATGCTGCTTGGCCTGCTGTGTTCATCCAGCTCTACACCTTGTTATCTCATTAAAACTATAAACCTTGCTTTCGATGTAAAACAGGTTTTTGCCCTACCGGAGCTGCTTAACAATTAACCACAATTAAACAAAATATAATTTAATTCCTCACTTGCTTGGTCAAGTAAAAATAATTAAATATTAATTAAATAAAACTTAATCCTATATAATTCACAGTACAAATCCAGTTCTCTTAGATTACTTAACACTTCGATTTTGTTTTACAGTTCACAATATTGATAAATTGCAGGTCATTTTTGGGTACCAATGAGATAATGGTAGTAATTTTGGCTAATACATTTGTCTAATTAAAGGAAAAAAAATGTATGAACTTTAAGGTCAGATATTTCAATATCTATGATCTCTGCGAACATTCGCCCTCCTGCGGCATACAGTAGCTTAGAAACTACTGTCCATCAGTTAAAGTGGTAAGATTTAAGAGAAGTTTTAAAGAGAGAGAACGGGCGGCATGGTGGCTGATTGGTTTGCACATTCTCCCCATGTCAGCATGGGTCCTACAGTCCAAAGATGTGCAAATTAGGTGGATTGGCCATGCTAAATTACCTCTTATGTTCATGGATGTGTAAGGTTTGGTGTGTTAGCTACAGGAAATGCCTGGTTACAGCGTTAGTGTTGGGGTTCGGGTCTGGGTGGGATGCTCTTCAGAGAATTAGTGTGGACTTGTTGAGCCAATTTGGCCTGGTTCCACACTCTGGGAATTTCATATTCTATATAGCATGACAGGAGACAGGATTTTTAACAAATTATTACCACAGCATGGACTTTATCAAAGGCATGCCAATTGTGGCAAAAATACTTTGCAGGGCCCGTGTATATGACGGAGTCAGAAGTAAAACATGTGAAGCTGGGGGAAATTGTGCTTTGGAAGAGGTTCTACCTGTTGGCACGGAGATGTCCATGCAGTGAACACATTAGCAAGCCAAATCGGCAACAGAGATTATGGCAGTACACTTTGGAGGATGAGGAATGCAGTAGTAATTTGAAGGAGACAGGTAAATGAAATATGGTGTTAGCAACAGATCATTTAAGGTACAAGATGCTAATCTGATAGCTCCGATCCCATATCTTTCTCGCTTTGGAATTGCATAAGTCATTAGAAGTGTAACATTTCAGTTTAGCCTCGGGTTGTAATTAGTGAGAAGGATAGGATCAATGACAAAGTAAAGAGTTTGTGATGAAGGCATGGTAATGATTTCAGTCTTCCCAGTGTTCAACTGGAAAATGTTGAGACTCCACTAAGCAAGGTTGCCAGATTAGCACTGAAGGATCTTAGAGAAATGATGGAGAGTTACAGCTGGCTGACTGGGTGTACGTGGAAGTTGTTTTTCTAATGGCATGACTAAGAAGCAATGTTTAAGTAATGAAGAAAAGGAAGCCACTGGCTGCAGAGAACATGGGGAGGCTTCTGTAGTAATGCACTGATGGTGCAGGCAATGTTATTGGTGGCTTTGGTCTTAGTTATTTCATACAGAAATCTGGTGAGATTGAAACAGAGTTGTGGGGAAAAAAGGGAAAGATTCACCGTATCTGGAATTGGACAGAAAGGTAACTTGGACACGGGCTGTTGTTTGAGACAACAAATTCGAAGAGAGGATTATGATAGGTTTTCAAAAAGACGGGAGGCAATGCCAAAGAAAGTAAAACTTTGAAAGTGTCACCTAGTCTTGGAGATGGGAAGAGTGGTTCAATTTAGTGGAAATGGTATTAGGAGAGCAGGAGGCACATCTGATGGTCAAAACGTCCTTTTATTCATTAATGGGATGAGGGCGTCGCTGGCCAGGCAGCATTTATTATCAATCTCTAATTGCCCAGAGGGCAGTTCGGAGTTGACCGCAATACTCTGGGTCTGGAGTCACATGTAGGCCGGACCTGGTAAGGATGGCAGTTTCCTTCCCTATAGGACATTAGTGAACCAGATGGGGTTTTCCGACAATTAACAATTGATCCTTAATTCCAGATATTTTATTGAATTCAAATTCCATCATCTGTCATGGCGCGAGTCGAACCCAGGTTCCCAGAATATTATCTGGGTCTCTGGATTAACAGTTCAGCGATAATACCACTAGGCCATTGCCTCCCCCGTTATGTTGGGCGCTGGGAGAGAAACTGGCAGAGAGATATAGAATTAGGGCAAGGGCAAATGACACTATGGTGAGTTGAAGGACATTAAACTTGGTAGTAGAGGTTAAAAGCAAGAAAGCAAATGGTCTCAAGCATTGACAATATTTTCTTCAGCTTGTCACTTATTGGAGGTAATTCTGGAGAGATGTTATGGAGACCATGATGTGGAGGTGCCGGTGTTGGACTGGGGTGGACAAGGTCAGAAATCGGACAATACCAGATTGTAGCCCAACAGGTTTATTTGAAATAAGCTTTCGGAGCATAACCCCTTCATCAGGTGAAGTGAGAGGGAAGCATACAGAAACAGAATTTATAGACCGAGAGATCAAAAGAGCATACAAATGGTGTGAGTAGTGGAGTGTTGAATTATAAGTCTCTGCAGGTGATCGAAAGCGTCAGATGGTGTGAGTGAAGTGTCAACAGCTGAAAAACAAGTGAAAGGATGACCTATAATAGGATTAAATGAGGCAGAGAGACAATTCAAAAATTTTAAAATAAGGTAGTTATTGTTGTAATGTAACACTGGCTAATGTTCTTGTAACACAGGTTCGAAGCCCATCATTGCAGGTGGTGCAATTTTAATTCAGGTTTAAAAAAAAATTTAAAACTGGCCTAATAATAGCAATGTATTCACTGTTCATTGTTGTAAAAGCCTGTTTGGTTCACTAATGTCCTTTAGGAAAGGAATTCTAACACCTGTGCCTGGTCTGGCCTATATTTAACCCCAGACCCACTCTGTTGTTGATTCTTCACTACCAATTGAGTAACTAAAGATGGGCAACAAATGCTTGCCTGGCCAGTTATGCCTGTCTATTATGAACTAGATGGCTGGTGTGCCTTAGTTTTGTTGAATCTTGTACCTGGTTTTACCTCTGATATAGTAGTTTTCCATGGTGATTTAGTATGGCTGAGTGGCTTACTGCAGACAGTTAAGAGTCAGCCACATTGCTACAGGTCTGCGGTTATATTTAGGCCAAATTGGGTGAGGACAAGTTCCTTCCCAAAAAAAATTTAGTGAACCAGATAGAAGATGTTGTAATATCCTAGGTTCCTTATCACCATTACTGATATGAACTTTTTATTTGAGATCAATTTAATTAACTGAATTTAAGCTGTTGTGACTGGAATCATCTCTGGACAATTAGTACAGCCTGCTGGATTATTGAAGGTGTTTTGAAAGATGGATTAGGAGGCATTTATACCACAGTCGTAGTTTCTGGGTTCACACCTCACTTGCCACAGAGGGATGTCATAAAAATAATGTAAGGTGGATTTGCACCAGTTATTGTTGCTGGCCAGCCAGACACCTCATCTCGGAAAACTGAAGGTTGTCAGGCAGATTGTGGCCGTTTGTATTGGATTCTGCGGTTCAGGAAAAAAAGATGCATTGCTGATTGTTTAAATAATATACAAATGGTGCATTGTACTGAAGTGGTATACTTAAGTATATCTTTTGGCATAGTCATTTTTTGATTATTTAGTGTATAAATCAGCTTTGAAAATACTTTGAAATCTCTCACACTGCATGCTGGAACTGAAGTAAATTGTGAAATTGAGCAGGTAATAAACATTCAGCTGCTTTGCTTTTCATATATGTGCAAGGTTTCCGATTCTTCAGTGATTGCTGCACTTAAGAAGGTTATTTTTTTCCACATATTCATTGTTAAATTGGAATATCAAAATTATGTTCAATTATTTTGTATTGAATGAAATTTAATTTATTGAGCTATATAATTATTTTACTTGTTTTGCTCTTTCTTTCCTGAGCATTTTCAAACTCTTCTGCTTCTGAAAGTATTATTCCTTTGCTGAGCTGCTGTTCATGCATACTGGGTATTCCCAACGTCTGACCCTAACATATAAGGCTTATTCTTTCATTCATAACCTTGATGTACATGTTGTTGCAACAGGGATCACTAGCTATCATTTGGACACGGGGACAATGGCTATTTAACACCTTCCTATGGACCCACAGTTTTATTCCTTCGATACTCAGGATCTCAAATATATTTATGCCCAACTGTTATCTGACTGAGATTAGCTCTTGAATTTGATTTCAGGAATCTAATCTGGGAACTTGCTGCTCTGTAATTCCCTACTAGTTACTGAGTTAACTATCTTGAAACATTGGCAGAGTTTAATTTTATCATTTAGTTAATGTTAATCAATTTTGAATACAATAATGTTAATTTGAAAAAACCTTCTTATGTTATTAGTGTATGTTAATCTGCAAAATGGAAAAAGGGGGAAAGCGCTTATTCCATTTTAGTACATTTTATGTGGGTAAGAGTATTGTTTTCTACTTAATATAATAATGCATGGGTTGTCTGCTTTAGGGTTTCCAACAGAAGTAGACAACTACCACAGTCTTTTTCCTCTGGAACCTCCACCAGCTAATCGGTTACAAAAAACAAGTAACTTTGGTTTTATTACGTCCTGTTATAAAGCTATCAATAGCAAAGATGATCTCCCATATTGCCTTCGCAGAATCCATGGTAAGGAAATTTAGATTTGCGGTCATTCTATATTAGCTGCTTGTTAGTGTTCAGTAAAGATTAATTATGTATCATAGAATTTGTTTCCATTTTTGATTTCAATGCTTGAAGTCAGAGGTATATCTAATGTTAAGGTGATAATTTTTAACTTTGGCAACCCAGTATCATCACGTACGTAAGCTGGGTAAATACAAATTATAAACTTTAATACAGCAGGATGGTTCTTTACCACAGTCATGTTCTTTTTTAGTTATAATTATTCCAGTAGGCAGCTAATGAGACCCAGAGGACAGGAGTGCAGTAGTGTCAGCCTGTGCAATTGTCCAACAGTTTTGAGGTTCTCTTGGCTTGTTTGGTTGAGAGCGGGGTCTGTGAGATGGATGAACAAAATTACCATGGTACCGTAATAGAGGAAGCCATCGAATTGGAGAGAACCCAAAGGAATATTTAAAATTTTTGAGAAGATTTGAAGCTCGGGGTTTTGGATGAGATTGTAGACTTGTTTGCCGAGCTGGTGTGTTTGATTGCAGATGTTTCATCACCCTGCTAGGTAACGTTGTCAGTGCGCCTCCAGTGAAGCATTGGTGTTCTGCTCCGCTTGTTATTTATATGCCTTAATTTGCTGGGGTGGTTGGCATCACTTCCGGTTCTGTTCTTCAGTGGTTTCTATATCGGGTCCAGTTCAGTGTGTTTGTTGATGGAGTTCCAGTTGGAATGCCAAGCCTCCAGGAATTCCCTGGCATATCTCTGTTTGGCTCGTGTTATTATGGATGTGTTGTCCTAGTCGAATTTATGTCCTTCTTTGTCCGTGGGTATTGAGACCAGTGAGGACTGGTCATGTCACTTGCTGGATAGTTGGTGTTTGTGTATCCTTATTGTCAGTTTTCTTCAGTTTGGCCTGTGTAATGTTTCTCACAGTCCTTGCTTGGTATTTTGTATATTATGCTAGTTTTATTGGTTGTGGGTATGGATCCTTTACATTCATCAGTAGTTGTCGCAGGGTGGTTGTTGGTTTGTGAGCTACCGTGATACCTAGGGGTCTGAGTAATCTGTGGTCATCTCTGATATGTCTGACATGCCAGGGAATTCCTGGAGGCCTGGCATTCCAACCAGAACTCCATCAACAAACACACTGACCTGGACCCGATATACAAACCACTGAAAAAACAGAACTGGAAATAATGCCAACCACCCCAGCAAACTGAGGCATATAAATAAGAAGCGGGACAGAGCGCCAACACTTCACCGGAGCTGCACTGATGATGTTACCTAGCAGGGTGACAAAATGTCTCAATCAAACACTGGCTCAGCGAGCAAGTCTACAACCTCAAAAGGAAGGTATTGTAGATGACAGCATAATTGGACGATTTGCACTGTTCTCTACAGCAAAAGCAATCGTCCATAAGGCTCTCTTGTCTATCCAGTGCCAGTGCTCAGGATATCTGCTCTGGTCTGGAGAAAAGCTAGCAGTGGGAGGGGGATAATCCAGTTGTCCTGGTCCGTGTAGGCACCAATGATGTAGGTAGAACCAGGAAAGTGATTATGCTGGTATAAAGAGCTGGGCACCAAATTAAGAAGCAGAATTCCAAGTTAATGATCTCTGAATTATTACATAAACCACATAATCGGCATAGGATAAACAAGGTTAGAGAGGCGAAGCTGAAAGATTCATGTGGCAGAAGTCAGTCTAGTTCATGCAACACTGGCATCAATACTGGAGAAAGTGGGATATGTGCCTTTGGGATTGTCTAACCTGAACCATATTGGGACTGATGTTCATGTGAACTGCAAACTAGGGAAGTAAAGCAGGTTTTAAACTAAATGGAAAACTATGAATTGAAGAGTGGGGCAAATGCAATGGAGGAAGGAGTTAATGTGGGAAATGATAAACAGACAATGACAGGAAGGGACAGAGAATGTAGATCTAAGAGTAAATCAGGTAAAATTAGAGGTTACAAAAATAATACAAGGACAAAATCTAAGGAATTATGTTTAAATGCGTGTACTATTTGAAACAAAATAGATGAACTGTTAATAGAAAATGAGATAAATAAGTGTGATTTAGTGGCCAATACTGAGATGCAGTTGCAGGATCACCTGGATTGGGATCTGAATATTGAAGATTAGCTGACATTTATGAAGATTAAGAAGTGAGGCGCAATAGAAAGGAATTAACTAAATTTGGAAAACCAGAATATAGAGGCAGTCTGGGCAGAGGTGAGGAATGATAAAGGCAAGAGGTTACTTGGAGGCTTTACACCACTCCCACTAACAGGAACCACATGCTAGGATAAGGTATCAATGAAGAAATAGAAGGGTTACAGCAGTTATCTTGGGGGACTTTAACCTACATATAGACCGGAAACATCAGATGGGGGGAGAAAGTAGTCCAGGTGAAGAATTTATTGAATGTTTTTCAGACAATCATGTTATGGCACCAACAAGAAAAGAAGCCCAACTAGACCTGGTTTTGACCAATGAAATAGGATTAATTACTGACCTCGTAGTGAAAGACCCTTCAGAAGCAGTGACCACAACATGATTGAATTTTGTGTACAGTTTAAAGGAGAGAGTACAGGTCCAAGACTGCTGTAAGGGCGTGAAAGCAGAGCTAGTGAAAGGGTACTGGCAATTTAGATTAAGGGATAGGTCAGTAGAGATGCAGTTGTGAACATTTAAGGGGGCGCAGAATAGATGCATTCCAACAAATAGGAAAAAATTCTAAGGGATGGATTTGCCATCCATAGTTAAATAAAAAGTCAAAGCTAGTATCCATCTAAAAGACGCATACGAAAACAGCAACCATTGGGAAAACTAAGGAGGTTTGGCAGCATCAGTGGAGAGAGAAAGCAGAATTAATGTTTCGGATCCAATGGTCCTCCTTCAGACCATATAATTAAAGGACATATAATTCTGCAAAGATAAGTGGCAGTCAAACGATTAGACAGAATATTTTGAATGCCAAGAATCACTGAAATATTAATAAGGAGGGAAATATTAGCATAAGAGAAAATTAGCCAAAAATGTAAAAACGGGAAAATTTTCGGATAAGAGTTAATAAAGTAAATGCTGTCCTATAGAAAATAAGTCTGAGAATTGGTGATGAAAGGTAAGGAGATGACAAACCAACTAACAGATATTGTGTGTCAGTCTTAATTAGAGACGAGTAGCATCCCCAAAACAGTTGTAAATTAGGAATTGAAAGGGAAGGAGGAACACAAGAAAATTACAATTATTAGGGAAGTAGTATGGCATAAATTATTTGAATTGTGAGTTGACCCGTCCCTAGTCCTGATAGATTTCATCCTAGAGTCTTAAAATTGTTGAGATAGTTGTGTTGGTTTTAATTTTCGAAAACTCATTATATTCAGGGAAGGTTTCTTTTAGATCAGGAAATAACTAATGTAACTCCATTGTTCAAAAAAGGAGGGAGTTAGCAAGCAGGCCAATTAGCTGAATTCTGTCATGGGGAAAATGTTAGAAGTTGTTATTAAAGATGTTATAAAAAGGCACTCGAATAACTTTTTAAGATAAACAGGTAGAACCAATATGGTTTTGTCAAAGGGAAATCATTGTTAATTTATTGGAGCTCTTTGACGTAACCTGCGTATAGATGAAGGGAAACCCATGGATGTATTGTATTTAGATTTCCAGAAGGCATTTGCTATGGTGTCATATCAAGGGTTATTGAAAATAAAAGCTCATGGTGTAGGAGATAACCTGTTGGCATGGATAGAAGTTTGGCTTGCTAACAGGAAGCTGAGTGCGAATAAATGGGCCTTTTTCAGGCTGGCAGGATATCTATCACAAGTAGTGTGTCGTAGGGGTTGGTGCTAGGGCCTCAACTCTTTACAATTTATATAAATTATTCAGGTGATTGAGGTATGGTAGCTAAGTTTGCTGATGGCAATGATAGAGAAGAAAGTGAGTTGAGAAGAAGACACAAAGGGCCTACAAAAGGATATAAATAGGTTAAATAAGTGGGAAAGGATCTGACAAATGGAGTACAATGTGGGAAAGTGTGAATTTGTGCATTTTGACAAAGAATAAAAAAGTATAATCTAAATGGTGAGAGGCTGTAGAGCTCTGAGATACAGAGAGATCTAGTGTGAATTGTAGAAGTTTTATATGCAGATACGAGTAATCAGGAAAACTAATCAAATTTAATGTTTTATTGTGAGGAGAATTGAATGTAAGAGTTCGAACGTTTAGGCTTCAGTTATGCAGGGCATTGGTCAGATTGCATGTGGAGTACTGTGTATAATACTGGTCACCGTACTTGGGGAAGAATATTAATGCATTGGAAGCAGTTCAGAGAAAGTTTACTCATACCCAGAATGGATTACCTTATGAGGAAAGGCTTGACAGGTGTGCTTTCATCCTTTGGAGCTTAGAAGTGTCAGAGGTGATTTAATCGAAAAATAACATCCTGAAGGGAGGGACTTGACGAAGTGGATGTTTCCTCTTGAAGGACAATCTAGAACAAAGCGTCATACGTTAACAACAAGGGGTTGCCCGTTTAAAACGGGTGAGGAAACATTTTTTATGAGGGTTGTGAGCATTTAGAATGCCCTATCTCGGAAGGCAGTGGATGAAGAATCTTTAAATATTTTTAAGGCAGAGATAAATAGATCCTTGATTACCAAGGAGATGAAAGATTATTGGGGATAGGCAGGAATGTAGTATTGAGGTTAAAATCAGATCAGACATGATCTTATTGAATAGTAGAGCAGGCTTGAAAGGTCGAGTGGCCTACTTTTGTTCCTTGTTTGTATGTATTCGTTTAAACAATTCAACCATTCTGTATACCAAGAAACCAGTTCAAAATGTTTGAATTTCACTTGAACCCTTAAAAACAGAAACATTGGACCAGTTTCCAGAGGTAAAAGAACACCATTTTAATAATATTTTGGGTAATTTTCCAGGCTTTCGTCTTATCAACACAAAGTGTATGGTATTAGTAGACATGTGGAAGAAGATTCAACATTCAAATACAGTAACACTTAGAGAAGTATTCACCACCAAAGCATTTGGAGAGCACTGTGAGTAGCATTTTTCCCCCCGTATCAGCTATCGTGCATACATACACATGATAATGCACATTTTCTAGAACCTTGTTGAAAATTGGCACTTGTTTTGTGTTGGAACAGATGTGTTTTTTGGGGGCATTCTTTTTCAAATAACAAGGTTTTGAGCTCTGAATAGTATCTGTAATTTTCATGATATACATGTGCAGCAAGGTAACAACAGGTTATCTACAGAAAGATTTTACACTTTTATCCTCATTGAATTGTTTGCATAAGTATATCCTCTATTAAGTAAAAAGACTAAGGTAACTTGTACATTTCTTGACAAAATGTAGTGTTTTTCTTCATCTAAAAGAAGGACAGATGATGTGTGATTTGGCAAACTCAATGAATGGAAGATGAAAGAACAGTGTGCGCCTGTGTGTGATGTGGAGGAAATATCTAGACCAAGTTGGAATCAGTCACTAAGTTTAACATTTTGAAGAAGCTGAGCTGATTCTTGACATCACAATGAGGCAAGGAGAAGTAGCACGCCTCAAGAATTGCCTCAACCAATTCAGGGATTGCACCGAAGCTGTTGCCATTATTAAGAGTGCCCTCTAACCAGCTCAGCCTACCAGACATCTTCCTTTTGCTTTCCCAATTTATAAATTAATCAAAAGCCAAGGGTTTTTGAAGATTACAGTGTTGTCTCCATGTTTCTTCCCTTCTGTATAATCATGAAAGCATAACCACATAATGTTTGATAAAAAGAATTAATAAATATTTTCTCTATACTTGCAGTGTAATTTCTAATAAGTATCCGATGTTAGCATACTCTCAATAGCATGAATAATGGTTACATATTCAGGAATGTACTTATCAGAGTAAAGTTCTAAACTGTCAAATGTTTTAACCAAATTACTAACCTGTTTAACAATCATGTTTACTAATGTGACAAATCAAGTTGATTATTGGATTAGTTCATAGTTAAAAGTTCAAAATAATCAAAGATGATGGTCTAAAAGTTGAGGGATTTATTGGAATTGGGAACTGGAAGTATTCTCCATTAGTAAGATTGGGGAAAAAAAAATTTCCAAGTCTTTACAGTTACAAAACGTCTTGTAAGGGAGTTGGACATAAGGGAGATGTCACTGTCTGTATAATCCAGAAGCTCGGATCAATGCTGTGGAGACGGTGGTTCACGTTTCACCGTGGGAGCTGGTCGAACTTGAATTTCACTCGTAAATCTAGATTATAAAGCTAGCACCAGTGAAAGTGTCATTGGTTTTGTTTAGCGAAGGAAATCTGCCATCCTTACTTCATCTAGCCAAGATGTGACTCCTGACTCATAGCAATGTGGTTGACTACTAACTGCCCTCTG